ACACACACACACACACACACACACACACACACACACACACACACACAAACACTCCTCTCTCTACTGCAGTGTTGTTCCCCCCCCCCGCCCCCAACTTGGCAGGTTGAATTCTGGGAGTTGAAGTCCGCAAAAGAGACTCTGGAGTCCAAAAAAAAAAGGGGGAAAGAAAAAAAAACCCCAACCAGATTAACCTGCTGCTCGCCTTATTACAAAATAATAATAAAATAATATAATAATAATAATAAAATAATAAAATAAATACTAATAAAAATAATACTAATAAAAATAATAATAATAAAAAAATAAAAATAAAAATAAAAATAAGGAATCCAGGCATGGTCGTATGGAATTGCCACTTCTTCCCCCACCCTCCCTCGTATAACTCTCAAGGAAGCCGCCTGCCTTTTGAATTTCCCGCCTGAGCCTCGCTTCTCGGGAAAGAAGGAAGGGAGGGAGGGAGGAGAGAGGGAAGGGAAGGGAGGGGGAGAAAGCGGTCACCCACGCGCCGGACTCAGCCGCGGCGGGCCCCGCTTCCCTTTCCCTTTCCTCGTCGGAGCGCCTTCGCTCCCCCCCCCCCCGCTTCCGATTAGAACGCGAAGTTGTTACTTGGCGTTCCATCCTTAGAACGTTCGCCTGCAAGCACTTTCCCCAAACCACGTGGGCCGGGACTGGGCCCTTCGGTAACTTGAGCGATCGGCAAATTTGGGGATGGGGTCAGGGGGGCGGGGAGGGTCGAAGGGAATTAAGAGGGGGGGAAATATTACCTGCCGTGTCTTCTCCCCTCGCCCCCGCCGTCCTCTCTCCTCCCCGCCCTCCCAATTCAACTCACCTCCCTTCTTTACCTATTCGCCGCCTCCGCTTCTTAGTCGGGCCAAGCTTCTCTCTTCCTCTCCTCTCTCTCTCTTTCTCCACTTCCCCCTCCCCTTTCCCCGGCCTGATCCGGAGGGGCATGCGCACTGGGCGCAGAGGCTGTTTGGAAAGAGGAGAAGTGCTCCCCCTACAGTCCGAAACCTCCCGGAAAGCGTGCGGATCAGAGGCGAACGCGCAAAAGGTCGAAAAATGCGGCGGGCTACTTCTATCAAAGTCACGGATCTTCAAACTTGGCAAGTTTGAAGACTTGCGGGCTTCAACTCCCAGAATTCCTGAGCTAAACATGACTTGGAGGAGGAATTCTGGGAGTTGAAGTCCACAAGTCTTAAAGTTGCCAAGTTTGGAGACCTTTGATTTGTAGATGCAGAAGTTCCTAAGTCAGCCTCACAGTTGATCCATTATCGGTTTCATTAGCATTCTAGTTATTAAGCTGCCAATGTATATACAATAACATAACTTTGCAGTAATCCTCTGCTTTTTTTGCCCTGACTATCGTTTAATTTTCTCTAGACAAAATGGGAAAAATACTTCACTGGGTCTGATAAAAACAGGGCTCTTTAAAGGGGAGAAATCGAAGTGTTGGTTCTTAACTTGTCAGCACTTGGGACCTCATTTTTTTGTTTTGTTCAATTGGGGTCTCAGTCACTGTCTGGACAAATCCCTGCCAGTTTATTGGCAAGGTTTTCAAGAAGTGGTTTACCATTCCCTGCTTGTTAAGGTTGAAAGGCCCAGTCGTCCAGTTGACTAGTTCTCAAAGGCAGGACTAGAACTCTCTTGTCAATTCGGTTAACCGCTACATCAGACTGCCTGTGTCTGTCATCTTGGGAACTTGCAAATTCATTGGAGGTGCAAGTACGCCTTGAAAAATCATTTTACAGCAGCCCACTCCAAAGTCTCCAGCTTACTCAATTGCCAATTGGTATTTGAATAGATACAAGGGTGGTTTGATGAGTAAGTTTTGGAAAACAGGTACTGCACGTAATACAGGAACAGAATGTCTTTCACAATCTGTGGTGCTATCACCTTCTCTTACAGGGTTGCTCTACACAACCAGAAAAAAAAAAGGCTTTTATTGTTAGTTGCGGAAGTCATGTCCAACCCATTGTGACCCCATGGACAACATTCCTCCAGGCCTTGATATTATCATCTTCTGGAGCTCACTCCGTTTCAGTGACTTCATCCAGCCACCTCATTGTCTGCCGTTTCCTTTTCCTTTTGCCCTCAGTCGTTCCCAGCATTAGGCTCTTCTCCAGGGAGTCCTTCCTTCTCATTAGGTGACCAAAGTATTTGAGATTCATCTTCAGGATCTGGCCTTCTAAGAGTAGTCAGGGTTGATCTCTAGGACTGACCCATTGGATCATCTTGCAGTCCAAGGGACTCGCAGGAGTTTTTCCCAGCACCAGAGTTCAAAGGCTTCAATTCTTTGGTGCTCAGCCTTTCTCATACTTTATTATAAACACACACCCGCATCCAAATAATTGGTGCAGGTTTCCCACCCAAAATAATTCCAGAAGAATAAAAGCAAACATTAGCCTTGATTGGCAGGGTTGATTAGAAGAGAAAGATTTGAGTTCTAGAGTTCTGCCTCATTTGTTGAGATGTCCAAAACAGCAGAATGCAATCCCAGCTAAGATCTCCCTTGGCTCAGGTGATCACAGGGGGGACATTAAATTCGAGAGCAAGGCTGGAAGTCAGCCTTTTCATCTTCAGGATCTGCCCTTCTAAAGAGCAGTCAGGGTTGATCTCCCCTAGGACTGACCCGTTGGATCGCCCCGCAGTCCAAGGGACTCGCTGGAGTCTTTTCCAGCACCAGAGCTCAAAGGCCTCCATCCATTCTTTGGCGCTCAGCCTTTCTTATAGTCCAACGTTCACAGCCATACATTGCAACTGGGAAAACCATAGCCTGGACTATACACACTTTTGCTGGCAGGGTGATGTCTCTGCTTTTTAGTATGCTTAGGAATCTGACTCATAATTCTGGGAGGAAGACTAAAAGTACAATTAATCAGATCCTATCACTTCCAATCGATTAGGATCGCCAACATGATTGCCAACGTCCGATGACAGATATGGCACAAGTATCCCTTCCAAAAATCCACTTCCTCATGCTTAAAAAGATTGTGCACTTTGCTAAGTTTATACAGAGGAAGCATAAGACGTTCAGAGCACACTTTGAAACTGCTGGATCACAGGAAGTCTCAAATGCTAAGTAGCAACCCCATTACATTGAAGTATCCATTAATATGCGTACTTCTAGCTGCTCTGTATCGCAAACCATAAAATATGACTTGGAACACTGGGGGAAGAGTAACATCAGGCTACTTCAAATGGTGCCACATCAGACTGAGTGGATGCGATTTACCAATTTTTATTTTAACCTAAATACCCGGAGTCCCCCAAATTGGCAACTTTAAGACTTGTGGACTTCAACTCCCAGAATTCCCCAGCCAGCATAGCTTGCCAAGTTTGGAGACCTCAGCTGGTCAGAATGTACAGAAATGCAGTAACATGCCAGTTGGGGAAATTAATTCTCAACTTTGGCCAAATCAGTGATCATGAAACCATTGGAGAACTATTTCTGTAATTGTGCTAGAAATGAATTTATAGTTGAACTAATCAGTAATGTGAAGACTTGCACATAGAATAGTACTGGTCTTTAATACATATATGTGTATAAATACATAAAGGTTTACAAAGCCATAAAACAGTGTTAAGAGGGGAAAACACAACATACCCAATTATCAAGTTCCAGTAATATACTGTATAAAAAGGACTCCGAAAGGCAGGAGTTCAGGATTATGTCCCTCCTGTTCTTAACAGGTCCTCTCAACAACTTCAGCCACAGACCTCAAGCAGAATCCCCAAAATTTGGCTAAGCAGGGCTTATTAAAGGATAGCTCAGCTGAATTCAAATTATTAGGTTCATCCATGTTCGACAATACATGATCATTTACAAACTAAAGTGAACAAAGAAAAACCAAATAACTCAAAGAGTTTGTACTGTTACCAATACAAATACCAATCACAGGTGCATTTTTGTTCTATAACCCAAGGATCTTCAACCTTGGCAACTTGCTGACTTCAATTCCCAGAATTCCACAGCCAGCAAAGCAAAGCTTTGGAGACCCCTGCTATAACCAACACTGTAAAAGCTGCTGCAGTCTACGTTGCACAAGAATGGATGTTATCCATTCAGTCATGTCTAACTCTTGGTCATTCTATGGGCCAGGACTCTCTGCATCTTCTGATCTTGCTTTGCTTTGAGTTGTTCTATGCTCTGCTGGTTCATTAATGCCAGACTTCTATCTGATGCTGCTTGGTCTAACACAGTGATGGCTAACCTATGACACGCGTGTCACTCGTGACACGACGAGGCACTTTGACTGACACACCTGCTGGTGTGGGGAAAACCTGCACATTTAGAGGCTGCCTGTGCTCTGCTTCAATCCCTGCTTGTTGTGTGGAGGCGTGGTGTCACCGCTGCTGCAAGTTCTTTGCAGCAGAGAACCAGTTTTAACCGCCATAAACTGAGGTTTGTCAGTTTCATTACCTCAGGAATGCTACAGGAGGAAAGGAGATCCATGAGGTTCACAGCCCTGTAAGGTGGCCTTCCGATCCCCACATCCTGCAGCCCTGAGACCAGGGAGACGAGTTTCACAGCCCTGTGTGATCACCCCAGCCCAGTCCGTCATAAACCAAATTATTGATATTTCTTGAAATGACACACGACCCGAGGAAGGCTACACTTTTTCCCAATTTTCGACACAGCAAGCTGAAAAGGTTAGCCATCACTGGTCTAACATTTTTATTCCTCCAAGCCTGCTCCAAGTAGTTTTTCTTCCACAGCAATACCGAGAACAATGGATGCTTTGGGAGTTTTTCCTTTCAAACAACCTGAAAAGCAAATAAAAAATGGAAAAGCAAATAAAAAATAAACATATTTTAGAGTCTAGAAGTAGATTTTTGATAGCTCCAGATCTCAGTTAATTCAAATCAACAGAAAAATACCCAATAACTAAAAAGCCGAAATTTCATTCCCTTGAGGAATAGAATATGATAGGAATAGAACAGAATCTTTGTCATTTTAAATGTACACTAATCAGCATAAATGAAAATGAAATTGTTGCATTCAGCTCTCAAAAAGTAACTATTGTACATATAAGCACAGGACACAGAAATATGCAAAATGTGATTCCAATTAACTAATACATTTATACAATTTTGTGGTTTATTGCTGTTTTCAGTAAATATCGTACTTCATCTAGAGTTGGTTGAACAACTTGAGGCAACTTACAAAAATAAAATCCTACATGTTTTCATTTGTATGAAAATACTTAAGGAACTCCAGTTCAAAATCCAGAAACCTCACAACTAAGAAAAAAACATATTAGTATGGAACATGAAGAGAAGCAGAGCAGGAGTTTGACCTTGACAATTTTAGGACCTGTGGACTTCCTACTCCCAGAAAGCAAAAGGTATTAAAACATAGCCAAGGCTGGACCTCCCAGGCATAGAACAAGGAGAGGATAAAAACAGAATGTCTCCTGCATGGTTTATCTCCTCTTTCACGGTCCAAAGACTCAGAGAAGCAGTAGGAATATGCAGGCTGCAGACCACGGAGGTCCAACTCGCTCTCCAACAGTGTGGAAGGGGACCATACGTCCTAGGGCAGAAGCCTACGCTCCCATACGCCACATGGACAGAGCTGAGAGAGTGCAACCTCTCCAGGTGTCCCTGTTGGGGGAATACATCAGAGACCACCCTCATTTCTCCAGGAAGGGAGAGGGGGGCACTGGAGCAACATACAGATAGTCCTTGATTTGCAACCTTGAGTTTAATGATTGTTCAAACTTATAGCAACCCTGGGGGGAAACGTGAGTTATGTCCTTGTAACTGCAGCATCCCCAGACAAAAATTCAGGTGCTTTGCAAACAGCGTTTGTGAATAGTTGCAGTATCCCAAGATCATTTGCAACCTTCTCGGTTGGCTTTGGACAAGCCAAGTCAATTGGGGAGGGGGAGGGGAGACGACTGGATTGTTAAAATTGGTGATTCACTAATGTGGCCAAAAAAAAGGTAGAAGAGGCCAACTCATTCAACCTTGCGTGCCATGAGAAATTCTGGTGCCTTTGTGTCATGAATCGAGAGCGATCAGAATATCTGTAGTCTGATCATGAGCAAAGTGGGGGGAAAAGCTTTCACTAGACATCCTGCAAGACCATCCCCATTCAAAGGCCTGTCACAGCATCACCCGAGTACCTGAGAAACAGGGGCTTCAAAATATTTCTCCCACCATTTCAAGACCCGAGTTGCCACTGCCGTCTTCCTGGTTGGGCTTTCAAAAGGCCTGCTGAAATACACAATTAGAAACACAAAACAGCAAGTTTAACATCTTCAGTCTGTGGCTCTTGCTGGGTTGTAAAAAAGTTTGCCTCCTCCTCCTTCACCGTTTTTTTAAAGGCACCACTTGAATACGCAGAAATGACAAGGAAGCAAGCAGACATTGTCTCCTGCATGGTTTATCTCCTCTGTCACGGTCCAGAGACTCAGAGAAGCAGTAGGAATATGCAGGCTGCAGACCACGGAGGTCCAACTCGCTCTCCAGCAGCGTGGAAGGGGACCATATGTCACGGAGCCCGGAGGCCTACACTCCCATACGCCACATGGACAGAGCTGAAGAGACCGCAGTCTCTCCAGGTGTCCCCGCCAGACTGTTACATGAACCACAAATTCCTGCCTTTCTTTTTTTGTTGTTTTAATGTATTTTTATTGTTTACAACTGTATCAAACACAGTGCAGCCGTTTTGGCATTAGTCTGCCATATAGAAATATTACTAAACCATTATTGAAATAATTGGTACAGTATTTTCATTCTACACCTATTCACCCTATTTTTGTTCCGACCTTCCTCCATTTTATTTTTTTGCAACCAGTGAAAAAACTTATTCCAAATATCGTAAGATTCTGATTCCCCCCCACCCCCTATTTTTCAGTTGTAGTCTAGCAGATTCTGCACAAACCATTATTTTCCTTATTATTTCTCTTTTTGGTGGTATATTTTCATTTTCAAGTTCCTGCCTTTCTGGAAGCATGGTTAGTCTTCATGATTCAGATTACTGTGGCTCAAGATAAAACGAAACACACCAAAAATAAGCGGCCAATTGTTTTCTAAAAAGCCACCTCTCGCCTTTAAAATCACTTGCAATTACAGACATTCTAGAAATCAGCATTTCGGGATGCCCCGTGTGCTATTTTTTAAATAGACACTTCCAGAAAAAGTAACTTCAATTATGTTTGCAAAGCTGTCTAATGGGAGGGAAAAAAATTTTTTTGCGCCAGTCCAGATGTTACACCAAAATTCTCAGTCACTTTCACCAGCAGAAATAGCAAGGGATGATTCAGCCAAATTCTAAAGCACTATAAGATCGTATCCTTCCGACTTTTGTTTTTAAGTACTGGAGGCTAAGCTCAATGTGTCGGCTTGCAAGCCTATGCTTTTAACCCCACTGTTGTAGGTTTGTTCCTGGTTAAGTTTTTCAACACACCTGAAATAAATGACCAGGCTACAGTTAATGGCATGTTTGTTGCAGTCCAGCTAGGGGCCAATGACACCTAGGAAAACAATCTAGTGCTAAAAGTTCTATTGTTGAAAGTTCAGCTAACATTGACTTGTTACCTATATGCTCAAAGGATGCCAACCTGCCCCTATACAACTAAAAGAGCTCAAGGCAAGCCCATACCTTCTGCTTTTGAACCAGATTAGATTCACAGCATTGAACCTTGTCCCATCCTCTGAAACTGGTCAGAACAGCAAACAAGGTATGTCCTCAAGTGTCAGGAGATGCATAGGATCTTCCAGGAATAGCAGAATTCAACCAAACCAGAAGGCTGCCTGCGTGTAAAAGAAACCAGAGTGTGTGACATTGTTAGTTTTTCAAATCTTACTTCACAATGGGTGAAGAAACTTAAATGGAACAGGTCTGTACTTTTTCCCAATTTCTTGTATACTGTCATTCTTTTGAGGGAATTGGGGCGTTCCCACCAACTACGTAAACGGTTCTGGTCTTTAATAAGTGTGTGTAGATATATATATATAGTTTTACAAAGCCATAAACCAATGTTAAGAGGGGAAAACACAAATATCAAGTTTCAGTAATTACACACAAAAAGGACTGACAAAGGAAGAGGAATTCAGGATTATGTTCCACCTTGTTTTGTTTAACATTTCTTCTCAACCCAATTTGTTCAGCATAAGCCAGTCCCAGTCACAGCAGTGGAATCAAACAGAATCCCCAAAATTTGGTTAAGCAGGGTTTGTTAAAGCATAGCTTGGCTGAATTCCAGTTAGTAGGCTCATAGATGCTCAACTATTCTTATTTACAAAATAAACAGGTTCTCACAGCAAATAGAAAAACCAAATAACACGAAGAGTTTGTACTGTTTAATCACAGACCCAGTTTTGTTCTATAACCAACCGTGTAATTGCTGCTGCAGTCTACGTTGCACAGCATGAAGATGCTCAGTCATGCCAAACTCTTGGCCATTCTATGGGCCGGAACTCTGCATCTTCTGATCTTGCTTTGCTTTTGAGTTGTCCTGTGCTCTGGTTGGTTCATTAATGCCGGACTTTTTTCTATCTGATGCTGCTTGGTCTAACATTTTTATTCCTCCAAGCCTGATCCAAGTAGTTTTTCTTCCAAAGCAATACCAAGAACAGTGGATGCTTTGGGAGTTTTTCCTCCTTTCAAATAACCTGACATGGAAAAGCAAAACAAAAAATAACCATATTTTAGAGTCCAGAAATAGGTTTTTGATAAGCTCCAGATCTCAGTAATTCGATTCAGTAGAAAAATAAACATTAACTCAAAGCAGGAATGTCATCCCTTTGAGGTCATACAAAAGTATGATCCCAATTAACTAATACATTTATACCATGCTGTGGTTTATTGCTGTTTTCAGTAAATATCGTACTTCATCTAGAGTTGGTTGAACAACTTGAGGCAACTTACAAAAATAAAATCCTACATGTTTTCATTTGTATGAAAATACTTAAGGAACTCCAGTTCAAAATCCAGAAACCTCGCAACTAAGAAAAAAACATATTAGTATGGAACATGAAGAGAAGCAGAGCAGGAGTTTGACCTTGACAATTTTAGGACCTGTGGACTTCCTACTCCCAGAAAGCAAAAGGTATTAAAACGTAGCCAAGGCTGGACCTCCCAGGCATAGAACAAGGAGAGGATAAAAACAGAATGTCTCCTGCATGGTTTATCTCCTCTTTCATGGTCCAAAGACTCAGAGAAGCAGTAGGAATATGCAGGCTGCAGACCACGGAGGTCCAACTCGCTCTCCAACAGTGTGGAAGGGGACCATACGTCATAGGGCAGAAGCCTACGCTCCCATACGCCACATGGACAGAGCTGAGAGAGTGCAACCTCTCCAGGTGTCCCTGTTGGATCCAATTATGTTTACTACATAATTACTACTTACTACTATGGGCAATCTTTTATTCAAGGGAAGGATGTCCTTGCTCCTAAATTAAGGAAGATACGATATATTTACCTTAATTAAGCTTTGCAATCTGGAAATTACTTAGGCACAAGTACATTATTTTTGAGCAGTTAGGTCTTTTTTTAAAAAATAATAACAATAAGCTGAGTTGGAGGCTGGAACCAGTTTTAGACAGCTATCCATCAAAACTTAAAAAATAAAAGAAAATTATCAATACCTTTATGTTTCAAAGTCTTCATCTTTGAGCTAAACTGTATTTTCAACAACATCAAACAAAAGCCAACGAAGACCTTCCCTGCAATAAAACTTACATTAGAAATGAATGCAACCACCATTGACACTAAGCAATGCATATAGCACATTAGAAATGAGTCTGTAAACAATGGCAACCCATGCCATAACATATTTACAGATACAGCCAAGCTGATTTGGGAGCTATAGTTTATGCTTAAAATGTGCAAACCCAGATAAGATTGTAAGTAGTTCTATAAATAATGAAGACACAACTCAACAATGCCATGTACATAATTGTGCACTATCACAACTTCTGAGCACATTAAAGCTCAACTTTAAGCAAACTTTCATAAGAACTTTTCTTTTAATCAATGTGGCACACATAAGAGTTAGACTGAAGAAAATAACTCAACTTGCTTTCTTTAAGCTCATCATTCATATATTATTTCAAATAATTCAGAATCTGCTATTCCCTTTAAAGAGACTTGCAGTACCAATTCAATTAAAGTAAGTATCCAACAGACGTAATCCTATCAGTTTTGCCCATCACTTCCGCATGGGAAAGCGCGGGGGGGGGAATATATATTTTAATTCTAATTTGGGGATGGACGGACAGCTACAGTGCATCCTTATCTGCGTACGATGCACTTCGCCCTTTTTCTACTTCAAGACTCCATGAAGTTACCTTAATTAAAAATAGAGGACTTCTAACTGCCTCTCCTTTAAGCCTCTTATAAGGTCGAGCCTTCATTCATTCGTGCAATTTTTAACGGCCACTGTAATTGTTGCTATCGATGCACGGCTATCTAAAGCCTCCCGAAACCGCGATGGGTCGGGAAGGGCATAAAGTTAATAAATACATTAATAATTCTGGATGTGAAATCCTACGTAATCTTTTATGTTAATACAATGTTAACTATGCGACTGCCGCCACCGCCCTATTTAGCGAGAGCTCCCATCGACCCAGCTCACCTCCTTTCGCCACGTGCCAAAGAAAGAACGAAACGCCCACCGACGCTGATATTTATAGTGCGCTGAGGATGCCGGGAAAAGCCAATGTCGCATGCGCAGAAGAAACCCTGTTGAAGGTGATCAAACGAAAACCAATGAGATTCGATTGGATGTGTATCACGCAACCTTCATTTCCGGTTCTCATGCGGTACCTCAGAGTGCGGGACAAATTATTATTATTATAGCCAAAACCACCCAAGCTGGCGACGCTTGCCTCCTTCTGCATTGGTTTTCAAGGAATTCCTTGAAACAGTCTTGGTTCACTGCTTTACTGCTTGGCAAACGGAAAATACCATCGCCTGCTATTGGAAACCGCACGTTTTCTACAAAGGACATGTCTTTGGGCAACAGTACGCATGCGCGAATCAGCGGCCGGCGAATCGGTGCAGCCAGACGAGATAAACCTAAAATCTCGAAGATGAAACGAGATTTCAAGTGAAACCAAGGCGGGAACGCTGCGATTGCAAATACGCCCCCTATTGACCAAAGACTAGCAGCTTCCTTAACAAGAAAGGATTTTTCCCTCTAGTTTTCAGCTTCCTGCATTAATATTCTCAGATCTTCTATCGAATTGCTAGAACAATATTATGTACTTTTTCTTAGTTATTTTAGAATGCAAGGTTTATTTTTCAAATCTCACAAATAAGGCTTTCCCCGACCTATCTTTGTATTGCACTATACTTCTAGAGGTGGCTGAAAGTTTTTAGGATTAAAAGGAACTGGATTGCTTGAGTGAAACTTTAAAAAGATTTTGCTTTGTTAGTGACCAAGATATTTGAAGACTGTCCAGTAAACATATTCACCTTGGAAATGATTTTGGTTAATTTTTTTTTTACTTGAACCAACATTCCATTTAAAACAGTCATTGAGTGAAGAGGAATTGTCTTGGGCTGCATATAAAATATATATTATAATGTATGTGTGTGTGTGTGTATAAGTTTCTTGAAGAAACTTCTTGGATGAGAAGGGAAACATCTTCAAAGAAAAAAAACAAAGTCCAGTTGCTTCTTGGAAAAAAAAAACACCTTTGGGATAATATACCACAAAGTTCACACAAAATAACTATGTTGACAAGTTAAAGAACCTTGCCTGCAGAAGCCAATTAAAATGTAGATTATTTTTTGTTAATATCTCCCCTAAATCATTGGGCCCTAAAACATCTCCCCTAAATCATTAAGAATATGAGGTTTCGAAGAACACAAAAACAGAGCACACTGGTATTATTGGGAATACAAAAAGTCCCCTGGATATTGAAAGAGATTGTGAGTATGTCAATAGAAGTGATTGAAATATGCACAACCCCATTCTTGTCTATCTACCTCAATCACTCTCACTTTGCACCCCTAAACACCCCTGACATTATTCTTAAAAAATTCATATGCAGTATGGGGGAGAAGAAGAAACCAAATGAAAAGCAAGGAGAAAGGAGTTTTTTTTTCCTAAAAAAATTTATTTCATACAATCTTGTTGATAGGAAGACAACACAATGATTTCCTTAATAGAGACTTTATACATCATGGGAAAAAAAATTGCTCAGATGATGAGTACACTGGCACTTATCCCCACAATCCACACCAAAAGCTTTTATCCTTGCATTGTAAGAAAAAATTGCTCCTTACAAAGACAAGGCCACATTCCCTTCCTTTCACAGGAACACCAGAAAGGCAACTGGCATGGGCTGGAATGAGAGTAGGGGGCGTAAAGGCAAGTTTGCCATGCCTTGTGTTCCCCCAGACTCACTCATTAGGAGGACCATTTCTTGGGGAGAAAGAACTCCTATATGTATAAGCGTAGCATATCTTTGTGAAAAAAATAAGAAGAGGCTGGATCCAGCCTAGGCTGTCTGCTGCCCTTAATTACCACTGAAATCAGTCAGAAGGGGGTTTATTCAAAAAGATTGCACCCAATTGACTGCACAGATTCCATCTTCTGCACAATGTTTTTAAGATATCTGAATCTTGCCCTCTTGTGTCTGGATCATCCTCCTCCCCAAAAGGTGTGTAGTTGCAAAAAAGTAGCAGCAAAAAAAAGAGGTCTTCTTCTGGATTTGTGGAAGCACAGGAATATCAGCCTCCAGCTTACATGCATCTATAAGCTTCTACAGGTGTGACCTTTTACAGATGTGTGAAGAGATGCGCCACCAAACCAATGCTCAAATACAGAACCAACATCTAATACACGTCCAAATTCCCATTGTTGTATCCCCCCCTCCATCTCCTCACTCCAGCGTCATAGGACACACTTCTCGGATGTGACCAGTGATATACCATTCAGAATCATTCCATAAAATCTTATTAATGCTATGCCATCTTTTCTTTCCTTTCCTTAAAAGTTGGGTTTAAGCCCTTTGCGAATCATTTACATTTTGCTACAAATCTAAGAAAAGGCAAGTTTGACATTAGTTTCAGGAAGTTGCTTTAAAAAAAAAATCAGGTTTTTTGTTAAAAAATACAGTATATTCCACATCATCTGCTTCTTCAAGGCAACTCATTTCAGGCTTTGCAGTTCCTGTTAAACAGGCCTAAAGGTGCATCCCCTGCCCCCCCCACCCCCGAAAAATTCGGTCTCTTAGCTTTATAGCAAATTTGAGTGTAGAAGGGAGTCTCTTGCTGTCCATTTTTTAAAAAATGTTACCCCCCCCAAAAAAATGCAGCATATGCCATGTTAGACCTTAACAATTCTTCCCCTAGACAACATACGATTGATCAGTAGTGATTCTGCAAATTAGTAACTAAAAAAGAGCCCGTAAGCACCTTTCCCAAATCTCCAGTAATGTGTCAGTTAAAGTTTCTTCTGGGTACAGCATAACGTAGGTACGTGCACACGTCTCATTCCATAGCTCCAAAGTCTGCTCTCATAGTCTCGCTCTTCTTTGAGACTGGGACATGAAAGGGTTCAGAATTAGGCAGAAGATAAGGAGCCAAGGGACATCATCTGTTCGTATTGCCGTATATCTGAGGTATGATGCTTTCGATGGTGACCTGCCCCCGCTGTGTGATCTCGTGGCACTTGTGACAAATTTCCTTTCAATGAAATGCTGTCTTTGGGACAAGGGCGTTCCCGTCCCTGGCCCATTTCCTGGCGAAGAGAGATTTTTCTTCTGGATATGTGAATGAAGGCTAACCTCAAGATTCCTCTTCAACTTATGAGACAGGAAATGACAAACACGGCTAGTTCACTTCTCTTCCAGTGACTGTTCATGCTTCTTGCTGTTTTTCTTTAAAAAAAAAAAAACCTCAAGGCCGATGATATCTGCAAGACAAGTATAAAGAATCATATAACATGTATGTATGTATATATGTATCTATCTATCTTCCTATCTATCTTCCTATCTATCTAGCCATCATCTATCTATCTATCTATCTATCTATCTATCTATCTATCTATCTATC